CTTTGCTGACAATCCATGGGTTTTCTTTTCTCCACCCACCCACCCATCCTCTCCCTCTCTAGCATTGAAACGAGGCCAAGAAATTACAGTTGCAGCTGTAGTGACATCACATGTCTTGCTTGGGTTGTCTTCTTACTGTACTCTCATTCATATGGCCCAGAGGGTTTTCTCTGGACAGGGACTGTGATTCTGCCTGTTGTGGAAACCCAAAAACAACTATGATGCTTTGCATAATCAGGATTTATTTTGATGATCATGTTACAAATTCCTTCCCTCCTCAATAGCTTTACACATTGAGACAGATGTACTGAAGATTGGCTTGCCAAAATTACAATTGGAAGAACTGGCCCCTCAGCTAATCTTTTATGGCCACACTATACCTTACAGACAGACCTGCGTTACAGTTGAAATCACACTGGTGATCCAGAGATCTGATCCCAACAGGCTTTTGGGTCCAAGAAATCAGATTTGCAAACAAAGAACATGTTTATGTCCTGAGGGTCAGTCACAAAACAAGCTAATTTGCAAGCTACAGTAGGTGAGATAAACTCCTGCAGTGACCATCACACACTATCAGAACTTCAAGAATCCCCTCTTCTAATGACAGATTATGTGTAACATATAGTTCAGGTTTTAGACCAGAACAAAAAGGGCATTTCCTAAGTCTTTTAGGTCAGCGTCCCACCACCAGTTCTACCAACCTTTTTGTATATATTTAAGGCATTTCTGTATTATTCCATAACACTGTAAACAAAAACAAAAAAATCAAATAATAACATTCTACAAACAATTGAAACTGCATGAAAACAGCAGGGAAGATAAAACTGCTTAGACCCAGAGCAGATGAAAAGCTTAAAAAAAAATTCGAAATGATACCAAAATATTAGCAAGCAAGCTTCTTTGGGAAGGATGTTTCAGGAGCCCTGACTGAGGTAGAAAGTGCCAAGTTTGTGGACATTCCTCCCCCCCAAAGTCTAGAATGCCCTTCCCAGCTATGGTTGCCTGGCACTGGTCATGATAATTTTCTAGTGCTGATGAGGAACGTATCATGAGCGGTCACTACTTGCCATTTACAATACCTCATCTTGTTGGCACAACACTAGAAAAGCTTTCAGAAAACCAGTTTTAGCCCTGTATTGAAATGCGCGGAGACCTGACATCCTTTGGGCATCCTAATCCTCAACCATAAAGGATGTTAAAGTTTGAAACAGCACTTTGAATTGGACCCAGAAATAGACATGTGTGATTCTAAAAGGAAACGTGTACCAGCTGCTGATTCCACCCCCCCAAACATAATTCAGAAGTATTTTTTCAGTTAAACATTATTCAAAGCCACTTTGAAACTTTTCTGAACAGCACATGAAGATAAACAAAGGCTATTCTAGTGATTCCACCTAAATAACATATTCTTTGCACTTCCGTGTCTGGTACATCTTGAAGCCCACGCTGTTTGGTAGGCACAAAAATAGAATCCTTTTTAAAAAGACAGACAGAGCCTCGTTCTTTTCCAGAATTAACGCTTTTGATTTCATCATCCCAGCACCATGCCTTCAACGTACAGATTTTTTCTTTTCTTTTCTTTTCTTTTCATCTCTTCCTAGTTCTTGGCATTCCCAAGACTCCTGTTAACAGACCCTAAAGCAATTTGTAGGTACTTAAATAAATCAGAATATTGCTTTCCACTCTTCAGTATGCCATGAGATGAGGAGGAGGGGGAGATTTAAAGCTTAATTTTTATATACTATCACCACCAGCATGACTGCTTCTTTGCTGCTTTAAATAATACCTGATGGAGGAAGAACAAGAGGGTGAGGCAGCCCACTATTGTACAATCCTGGGGTAGCAAGCAATGTTGTCACCAAGTCTGCCAATGTAGCTTGGGCTCCTTCAACCAATTTCAGGAAAGATGCTGGAACAGCCAAGTTGCAACTGGACCTCTGCTACAACAGCTTCACTGACTGCTGATCCATTTCAAAATGCTGGCTATGAATGATAAAAACCTAAAAGTCTTGATACCAGGCTATTTAAAGGACTGTATCTCTCTTTATGAGCCTTCTTGGCTCTTAATATCTTAAAGAATGGCCTTCCCTCAAGCCCACTGCCCACTCAGGGATGTTTGGTGGAGACAAACAAGAGGGCCTTCTCTGTGACTGCTCCCATGTTGCAGAATGCCCTCCGCCAGGTGAGCCCCAACCCTCTTGTCCTTCTGGTGATAGATGAAGAGCATACCTGTCAGGCAGGCTTTTAATAGATAACAGAGCAGTGATGAGTTTAGGTGCTGCATATTAGTTTATGTATGCCTTAATTTGCTTTTATCATGTTTTAAAACAGTTCTGTTTTTTTTAATCTTTCATTAATATGTTTAATTATTTTATTATGTTTTAACTACTAATTAGTGAATCACCTTGGGTCCCTTAATTCAGAGAAAAAAATCAAATCAGATCAGCTCCTATAAAACTAAATGTAACTTAGAAATTGGCTATCAGAAAAGATCTAGAATAAATAAATGATATTTATGATGATTCAACATCTGTCTCAAAATTATAGCATTTAGTGCTAGTGAACTTCGATAGCTGGGACATTAAGTTCAAATCACAATAGTGCTCTCTCTTTCTTGATGGTTTCATACAATCTCATTGTCTGTCAACCAAGGCCAAACGAAAATAATGATAACGTACATCACACTGCTATTATCCTAGATCAGAAAGGACCTTAGCTTTGAAATATCTGGCATCACTAAGTAGAGTTAGAGAAACTCTGGAGACACACTGCCAGACAGTACAGACAAGACTCAGCTTGGTGGACTTGTAGTCTGATTGTTAAGGCACTATCTTGTACTCTTCAGAAATTTCAAAAGCATTTCATACCTTGTCACATCTTAATTCTATTTGTATTCCATCAACGTACAACAAGACAGAATGGAGCCAAAGATATACAGGTTACAACCAGAAAAAGTGGCATGCCTAAGGTTTCCTAGCAGTCTTCTTGAATAATCAGCCCATTTGTTCTCAAATTCCACTGAGCCCTGCCCAATAGTCTATGGGCTACAGTTCCAGAAAACCATATCCCACTGTACTGGGCGCCATAAACGTTGAAGAACAATATGCCCAATTTTCTGTAGAAATGCTTGTTTAGATGCACTTAGACAGAATGTAGATGGTTTCTTATGAGAGTTCAAAGTGGTTTTAAAAAGACTTCCCATCCCACAGATTTGTCCGTGGATGTTGTCCTTTTGTTCTAATGCACTGGTCCTGATCAAATAGCTCCTGCAGGGTTTTGAAAGAACACAAACCCACGCAACACAGTTTACTAGAGTCAGAAGAGGGATAGATGTGCACACCACAAACAGCAGTCTTTTAATCTTGCTCCCCTGGAAAAACTATGTTCTCTCTCCAGCTTTGGCAGTGAGGGATTTGCAGTTAGAAAGCCATTTGTGACTACAAAGTACGAACGGAATGCTCTGCATACCGACTGAAATATACTGTAGCCATAATATAATACCTTGCTAAGCCTTTAAAGAAAGTTTCCTGGGAGACATATGGAGAGCTTAACATATTTTTTTCCAGTCCATACTGAGGACTAGATTATGTGTTTCCTTCCTTCTTTCCAACCAGAAACATTTCATGCCCGGCGTAATTGCAGGCTGTGCTTATTTATAGAAGATTTGGTAGTTCATAAAAGAAAATATTAGCTGAGCAAGGGATAACTACATAAGAAGGATAATTATTCTACAGGGTACATCCATACATTATACCTATCACAAAATTTCAACCACACCTCAGATATCTCACGCAGAGCAAGAACACCACCATATGCACAGAAAACACATTCTCAGGTATAGTCTTTGTTTTGTTTTATTTTTAACTTAAATAGACAACAATCACTGGAACACTATTTCCAAATCCATTACTGGAAACGTTTCTAATGATTCTGAAACGTGTTTGGAACTGTGCACTGTGACACACCCATTGACAAATCTGAAAAGCTGCAAGCATTTTCCAGTTTATTTCTTGATACCCAAATAAATACAAAAGTATTGAGAAGGCAATGACTATGAAAAAGTGTTTTGTTAGCCTCCCAGGAACTGGTTGGCGAGGGGGAAATAAGGGTGAAAGAATAATAGATTCTCTTTAAAGCAGCTCAAGGCAATTTCTCTTAACAATGCGTCTCTGTTACAGCACAATTCTCTACAAGTACTCGAGGTTCTGTATCACTCCAAACTTTAAGAGCATTTTGTCATTTTGGGCAGGGGCATGTGATTCTCTGAAAGACATGAACTGCTTTCATTCCCAAACAAGCATTTTATTTCATTATTCATGGACAAACGTTGAAAAATTAGCACAGGAAAAGGAGCTACCTACGCTTACCAGTCTGGCTTAAATTTTTGCCTTCCGCTGTTCTCTGTCTCCCTCAAATGAAAGCACTTAAATGCTAGCAAGCAAGCCCTGCAAACTTTTCTCTCAATTAAAAACCTCAAGGTTTAGTTCCTGCTATGGAGAAAAAGCTAGTTATGGTTTCTGCATCTCTTGTATATGCAACAGCTTCTCTTCCAGCATGGGTGAACACAAGAATACAGCTATTGTTAAGTCAGAAGATTGTTGCCCCCCCTCCCCGCTCCAGCCCTCTGCTTCACAGAACTAAGGGAGTAAAAATAAATACATAAACGTGGTTTCCACAACTGCCGAATACAGACCAGATGTTCTGAATCTCTGTCATGTCCAGGAATATACGGTTAACTTTAATTATTAGCTTTCCACCTTCAGTTTCTCTCAACCTCTGTACTAAGCACCCTTCGCGTCATGTACGCACACAGCACTTCTAAAAACAATGCACAGGTTCCAGTCCAGTGCCCTTGTCATTAAAGAAACAAACAGTAAAAAGTCAATGAAATGAAAAATTCTAGCCATTCAAAGAACTGGCAGGCTGAGGGAAGTTTTGTTATCTGAGACATACTAAGCTAATCAGCCAAGTATCAGAGATTTCATTCATCGGTCACTTACCTATCTGGGCTAAACAAAGCGGCAACAAGTAAAATCCAACAGCTGCACAAAGCCAGAACTTGGCCATCGCTTCTTCTGCGAGTTAATGTGGAAAAGGTAAGGAGTTCCTCTCCAAGCCTAGACAAAGGAGGGGGCAGAGGGGAGGAAAAGGTCCCCGGTCTTGTTAAAGTCTGCACAGCCAGCCAGCGTCTGAAGTTTGCTGCAGTTTTTATTCCAATTCAAAGTAACCAAAGTAGTGACATAACGCAGGGAGGGGAGCAGAATGAAAAGTCACACCCATGTTGAAACAAAAGTGACTAGGCAAAAAAAAGAGGAGGAGAGAAAACTACTACTTATGAGTAAGCACAGTTTCCACCAGCAGCATTTCTTGGAGGCTCCCAGTGGCTTTTAGTTTCTCATCGCCATGAACTCAGAAGTCTTAATGGGACAGCTGTGGCTGGATGTGGTGTACAGCCCCTCATGGTTGGGGGAAAGAGGGAGGGAGGGAGTGGGTAGAGGTCATGGCTTCCCCAAAATCTTTTCAGAAGCACAATTTTTAAGCAATTTTTTTAGCCACCCCTCAGCGGAGAGCACAAACAAGCATTGACATTTCTCTGTGGCTCTGCCAGTATTCTCCTCCTGATCCAATCACTTCTGCACCAGACATCGTAAATCCATTTATGTTTCTCTTCAGTTGTGCAACGTCATCCACTAAGAGCGTATTGTACATTTCACAGATGTGGAGAGAGGCAGAAGGGGGAGAGAAAGTGTTTCTTCATTACTCTTTTTGTGGTTCACAGCTAAAATCTGAAATGGAAATCTATACATACAACTCATGATGAAATGGACATGCTCCAGATGTGAATGCATTCACATATTTTCTTCATATTTTTCTTCATTACGTTGTGTCATTACCAGCTTTCAATAATTTTCTTGAAATGCAAAAAGAGTAAGTCACGCAGGTTCTATCTCCATGCTGCACACATTCATGTAATGCCTTAAGCTATGCTCAAGCCAGTTATGGCTCATGACAGGAGACCCCTTGTACCCTCATGAGGTACCCCCACTCAATCCACAGGTAGCCTGTGGCTCAAGCTAACATCAATTGACCGTAACAGCAAAATAAAAACTGAAAATTTCTTTAAAATGCTGTTAAGACATCTGAGAGACAACGGTTTGGCTGAGACAAACTGCATTCAATGTAGTTCTCTTTCCCCAGGCTGGCCCTGCCATTTGGCTGACTGAAGCAGTAGCATTTGGCAGCAAACAATTTTTTGCTATTGTGATGAAGCAGTGTATTTGTCGTCATCATCATCATCATCATTACGTTTCTACTGCCATATACCTAATGAGCATGGCCAGCTCTATGTATTTGCAGGTGGAATCCTTTTTCCTCAGGCAGCAAAAAGTCTTGTGCTGCCAAAAAAAAATCAACTGGAGATTCAGGACATGTTCACATTTTTTTTTATATCTATGGGGAAAAAATCGATAACCATGAAGTGACAAATCTGTGTTGGATGTGCAGTTTCTTTGTTTGCTTGTTTGATTTTAAATACCAGCACCTGGAAGAAAGCCTGAACCATTTAATCATTACCCATGATATTTTCCAGTTAAAATTCCCAAGAAGAATCATGTGGGCAATACACAGGATTCAGATCATCTAGAGTAAGATAATAATTTTGTTCTTAAACAGTAGGATATTGGGTGTGACCCACTCTATGTCCTAATTAGAGCACACTGTTGTTGGTCCTGCTCCACCCTGTACCCTTTTGGAAATAATCCAACTTGGTTCTTGTCTGGATTGAGGTTAGAATGTATTTGTTTCTGCATCTCAAGGCAAACTGATTCCTTTGAATGGGGAATCAAAAGCAGCAAAGGCAGATCATGCCAATTTGTGCAGTTGCCTTCATTATTCATTGCTTCATGGGGGCAACTTTGTGCTTTGTGACTCGTCAACTTTTGACAACTCATGAAGCGGGACGACTCACCAAAATGGCGAGTCATCCCCATCTGTAGTCTGGAGACATGCTTGGCCAGTCCATCACCTTTACCCTCACCTTCTTGAGCAAGGCAGTAGTCATTTTGGAGGTGTATTTGGGGTCATTATCATGTTGGAATACTGCCCTGCAGTCTAGTCTCCAAAGGGAGGGGATCATGCTCTGCTTCAGTATGTCACAGTACGTTGGCACTCATGGTTTCCTCAATGAACTGTAGTTCCCCAGCACCAGCAGCACTCATGCAGCCCCAGACCATGACACTCCCACCACCATGCTTGACTGTAGGCACAACACACTTGTCTTTGTACTCCTCACCTGGTTGCCACCACACACACTGGACACAATCTGAACCAAATAAGTTTATCTTGGTCTCATCGGACCACAGGACATGGTTCCAGAAATCCATGTCCTTAGTCTGCTTGTCTGCAGCAAACTTTCTTGTGCATCATCTTTAGAAGAGGCTTCCATCTGGGATGACAGCCCTGAAGACCAATTTGATGCAGTGTGCGGCGTATGGTCCGAACACTGACAGGTTGACTCCACACCCCTTCAACCTCTGCAACAATGCTGGCAGCACTCATCCATCTATTTCCCAAAGCCAAACTCTTGATATGACGCAGAGCATGGACACTCAGCTTCTTTGGTCAACCATGGCGAGGCCTGTTCTGAGTGGACCCTGTCCTGTTAAACCGCTGTATGGTCTTGGCCATTGTGCTGCAGCTCAGTTTCAGGGTTTTGGCAATCTTCTTATAGCTTGAGAGGCCATCTTTATGTAGAGCAACAATTCATTTTTTCAGATCCTCAGATAGTTTATTACCATGAGGTACCATGTGGAACTTCCAGTGACTAGTCTGAGAGAGTGAGAGCGATAACACCTGCTCCCCATTCACACCTGAGACTTGTGACACTAATAGGTCTCATGACATCAGGGAGGGAAAACAGCTACTAGGGCCCAATTTGGACAGTGTCACTTAAGGATGTACTCACTTTTCTTGCCAGCGGTTTAGACAGTAATGGCTGTGTGTTGCGTTCTTTTGAGGGTGGATTCATGCTGTTTTAGCAGCCATTTTTTTGTATCCTCCAAATTTTTGTGCCCTGGGTAAAAGTTCTGGTCAGTCTGCCCTATTTAAGGCTGGTGTCTAGTTGCACCCTTAGAGACTGCTTTTCCTTGATGCCCTGTAATGATCTTTAAAAAGAGCTGAGCATACTTTGTCAACAAACTGCAATAAAATATAAAAGTAGACTTATTCAATGATATCTGATTAAAACTCAGTTTTCAAAAACTGAACGAAAATTTGAACAATCTATAGATTGGCTTGTTGAACTGTAATTTATGCAAAATTCACTTTTCATCCTTGTTTTTTCTAATAAAACTGTAGAAAATTGCACATTTTAACTCTCTTTGCTCTCTCTCTCACCTCCTTTAATCATTACAATCATGTTCATTCTCTTTTTGGTTCACTTTTTTGTTTCCATCTTTCATATTCTCTTCAAACAATTTCTTCAAATTGTTTTCTTTCTGCTTCTTTGGCCCCCCTTTTTAACTCTGCTCTTCCCTCCCCCATTTTGCTCTTTTGTCCCACATTGCTCATCTGGTACCTTTTTTAACGGCCAACCCAAAATTACATCCTACATTCCTCACCACATCCTTTTTCTTTTCCTGATTCTACAAGGTAATGCATATTTGTCCAGCTCCTTTAAATACCGTATTTAAATGCTTGCTTAAAACATATCTTCAGTCCTATACACTGCTTCTCCTCTTCTATACTTTTCTGTTTCCATTTCTAAAGGACATGAATATCTTAGCTCCTGAATACTCTGTGGCAAGATACCTATATCTCCTACAGATGGAAGAGCCAGCCTGGACATCATAGATAAATAACACCTTATTAAACACTGCGATCATTAGTATTTACGAGACATGATCCAGGTGGAGTGTCATGACTCAGCACTCACATGATTATCAAATCAGGAAAGTAGCCAGTGCTTATCCCCCAGTGACCATCCACATAAGAAAGAAGGCTAATTTGTAAAATATGGGAGGTGGGCAATATTCCTCATCCAGCAATTAATTAATTAATATAGTCTCATTTATAAGCCGCCTTTTCCCCCTGTAAGTGGACTCAAAGCAGCTCACAAAGTTGAAACAAGTAAAATTAAAACACAATAAATAACATATTAAAAACCAAATTAAGCTATTATAATAATCAATAAACAATCAAACATTTTTGACACTGAAGGAATTTCCTTTACTAATGATAACCTGTAACACATATTGTTTGGCCTAGAGATTTCCTTTGAATACTTGATTTAATTAAATTTGTTAGAGGAGAGGTGAAGCAGTAACAATCAGCCTAGATTGCTTTTATTGAAGGAAACTAATTGGGAAACAAAGGTCTCTTTTAGCTGTAGCGACAATAATCTTGCCATGATTGAAAAGGACAAGGATATTAATAACTAACATGCCAGATATGGGGTTTCTTTTTCACAGATGAATAACATTCCAAAACTTTGACCCCCTCTAGCAATTATAAAATGTGACAGTGTGCATAGACAACTCTGTCCGGTGAAACCTTACAGCATTCGGTTTGCACTAATTAATGGGATTCTGAACATTCAAATTTAAATTGAAGGTTCGTGCTTATTGACACAACCATTTTAATGAGTGTTTATCTATGACTCTTACTACATGCTTGGAGAAAAAAAAATCTATAGCTGCAAAAAAGTAAAAACAAAAAAGAAAGAGGAAAAAGAAGAGGGGGAAAGCAGGAGACACTGCTCTCTTATATTATGTATACCTTTGTTGTAGCACATAGATGGAACTCCACAGGTTACTTCTAAAATACATGTTCTGAAAAGTGTTCTAAGTCTGAATTGTAGATATACCGTTGAGAATAGGAATCATAGAATTGTGCATAGGAATGTCTCCAAGGATTGCTTGACTCACCCTTTGCCTCTGCAGGGGAAGCATCTCTGAGAGCCAGTCTTCTGATCACTATTTAAAAACCTCAAATGAAAGAGAATTCACCATCCTCCAATGTAGACTATTCCATGTAGAAAATTTCATATTGTCAGGGACTTGTTATGCCTCACTGAAATACACTTTCCAGTAATTTCAAGCCATCTGTTTTGATCCTATCTTTGAAGTTGTGGCATGCAAACTTGCTCTCGTACATGACAGCCATTCAAATAATTGAAGATGGTTATCATACCACTTCTCAATCTTTCCTTCTCCAGGCTATACACACACATCTACATCCACTGTTCCTCACAGGGCTTGGTTTCCAGATCCTTTACCATATTGGTCCTTCTCTTCTAGACATGTTCTAGCTTGTCATTATTCTTCAGAACTGAGCACTGTACACCACTTAAAATCTTAGCAAAGCAAGCTAGACTGGTAATGTTATACCTCCTGATCTGGACACTAGACTTTGGTTCGGCAGCCTAGAGTTGTGTTTGCTCCCCACTAGAGATGGGCATGAAGTGCCTTTCAA